TTATATACTCAAGTGGTCCGCTTCGTCTCACTGAGTTCCTGGTTTGAAAGAACCGGACGTGGCTTTATAATAGAATAGAGCCTTTAATGGCAAAAAAATGGGAAGTCTCCACTGGCGGAGCGGAATCACCGCAAGGCGTGGGTGCATCAATAGTAGCAGGCCGCAAGCTAGCCTGCAAATTAGCCTGTGGATTGTTCCCAGCCTTAGTATTCTTAGGAGGAATATTTTGAGTAAAAAGCCAAGTCAGCCGATTCAAAAAAGATTAGTGTGACCCTGACCCGTATGGCGAGGTCAATAGTGCCCCAGAGTAAAAAAAAAAAAAAAAAAGATTAAACTCTGCAGGAGCTCTGCTACGCACGTCTCACTCCATGTGTCGCTGAGCCGAAGTCCCGCGGCTGCTCATCTTTTGACAAGTACTAGGAAATTCGAGCATATAACCCCGGTACTGCCTTCTCTCCACTGGCTTCCAGTCCGTTTTAGAATTGATTTTAAGCTGTAGGGCCTGATGCATTCCTTTTAATTTTAATCTATTGAACATATGTCATCTGTGTGTCTGTGTTATTGTGCCGTTTTATTTTTTGCACTGTTCTTATTTATTCTATTTTAGTCATTTATTGTTGTTTTATTCTGCCATATAAAGTACTTTGGTCAGCTGGATGTTGTTTTTAAAGTGCTATATAAATAAATTTGATTTGATTTGATGTTCAAGGCCACAGTTTAAAATCTACACCCACACATAACAACCACTGCCATTTTTCAACCACAGCACGATAAACCAGATGTCAGCGTTCTGCTTTGTAGCATCTGGACAAAACACAAATATCAACACTGGAGCAGAACTGAACTCTAACTATAAATTACATGCAAATAAGACCAAGACCTTTGGTTTATTAGTCTCACTCTGGTCAACTGGTGCTAATGGCAGAATGTGTTGCACTGATGTCTTATTAATAACAACTGTACTTTTCCTGCTGTGTGCAAAACAGTCAAAATATCAGTTGTGAAAAGTCCCATTTCATCATCATCATCAACTTTATTTATATAGCACATTTAACACAGCCACAGCTGACCAAAGTGCGTAACACAAAACACAAAAATAAAACTAAATTGCAATTAAACAACCACCCATCATAAAACAAAAATCCTCAGCAAAACAAAGCCTCATACCGGGTCAAATGCCAAAAGGTACGGATGAGTTTTCAAATACACTTTAAAAATGGACAACGAAGGGGCCTGCCTAATATATAGGGGCAATGTATTCCACAACTTTGGAGCCCCCACAGCAAAAGCCCTGTCCCCCCAAGTCTTAACCTAGCCCTCAGTATCTCGAGAAGCAGCTAATCAGCTGATCTGAGGCACCGAGAAGGACTATAGGGACACAACAACTCTGTAAGATAAGAGGGGGCCAAACCATTTAAAGACTTATAAACAAATAAAAGAATCTTAAAATGAATTCTAAAAT